CTTTCCCTCTTCTCACCATGCTTGAAGGCTCCCCTTTCTATAGCCTTTGATAAGCTTTCAGTTGTATAGCTTCAGGGCTTCCTAGTGTCGTGGCATGCTAGACCCATTACTGAGGCCGAGTTAGGGGCTGAGGCTCAAATACCCCCAAGAACAGAAATATCCACACGGGCAGGGTCTGCACCTAGCACCCTATAATTCAGGCTGATTGGGTGCACCGGTCTAAAGAGGATGACCGGGTGAAAACTCCTCTGTTCGAACTTCTTGCTTTAATCCAAAATGTCAATAATAAGAAATGTTTAACGTATTTGGTAGAATCATAGCTAAATACAGTTCTTTCCCTCTCTCTCCTTTTGCCATAGTTATCCCACACACAGTCTCTAAAGCCAGCAGTAGGGATTAAAATCAGCTGAAGATGGCAGTTGTCTTATTCAGTGTTCTCCTCACCCCTTCTGGAAAATCACTATTTGATCCTCAGTGCCACTCAGGAACAAAGAGAAGACAAGTACAAATCCTGCTATGAATAGCTCTGCAACTAGTTGATTTTATTTCACCTGTGAAGGTTAGGCCTGTCTGCTGCTTATCTCCAACCATTAAAGGGACAAAAATGTAACATATCCATAAAATGTCACATTTACCTACTAAGAACACGCATCTATTTGTAGAAGAGTGACTTATAAGAACAGCTGCTGGTAGGATGAGGACTTTGAAAGCTTAAGTTGAAGATCACAAAAGGAAGAGAGGAAAAATGGAGAAATGAAGATAGTAACTGGAAGATGCTGAATTATTTCTACATGAGAATATGGAGCATCATAAGGAATCAAGAAACCAAATTGCTAAGGTACCTTCAAAGATCAGGATACAATATACTAGGCAGGTGAGCATTCTGAATACATCAAGACAAGATAAGTAAAGATATTATATGGGCACAACTGATTTCATAGAGATGCTGGGAACAGATATATTTGAAATTTCTGAGTACAGTACTATGTCATGCTCCTGAGAGGTCCATTCATCTGAGTTGTATACTGTGCTGTTCTTGGTGTGAAGACCCACATTCTAAAGAGCAAAGTAATCTCCCATCTAACACACAAAAGTGGCTTTTAATGCAGACTGTGATTCTTTTGTACTACATGTTTCTCCCCATTAAGTTTCTCTCCAAATGCGGAGCTCAATACACAACACAGTAGTAAGTCCTGAATTGATAATTTTCCATGGAGATTAGACTTTCTGTTGCTCTGATGATACTAGGCTTCAGAATTTGATGGGTTGGTTTTAGCAAGTGGATTTTCTATAGACTGCTGCTGAATGGCACTCCACAGAGGCGCAATGATATTAGTGTAACTTCACTGGATAGAGGCTTTCTTTTTGTTCAGCTTCCAGTTCCTGCCTACAGCTTTTAGGAATTACTATAATGCGATAATCAGTAATATTATTTAACATTACCCAGAATATATTTCTGAGAATTATACATATTTTATGCAAGACTGTACAAGGATTAACAAAAAACAGAGATAAAATATATGGAATCACTGGTAATATACTGTTCTTGTAGCTCCCAGAGATCCCTTGACAGGTAAAAGAATGTATTTTACTAAGTGTTATATAAAAGCAGAACAAAAGGAGTCCCTCACCTGACTGCCTTACATGATAATATGCATTAACTATTGTTTCAAGTTATCTCCAGAACTCCCAGTAGGTAAACATGTGAGATGCTAGTTTACAAATGAGGCTAACTATCTTTGTTACAGTCAGAAAATCAGAAAAAGATTTTATCATTATTCTCCCTGTGATGAATTTCAGAATTGCCCTGACTAGGATAAACTGCAATAAACAAATGTATATGGGTTTGCAGAGTGTGGGACTCAGATAAAGGTCAAATTCTCTTTCTTGATCTAGGAAGATTGGATAGCCAGCTCTGTCAGTGCTGGCCAAGGTCAGGCAAAGGCAAAGCCAAATAACTATGTGGCATCATGCATCTGCAGAAGGAGTTCTCCATGGAGTACAATAACCAACGGATGCTCTTGCTAGAGAGTCCCAGCTTGACTCTATCCTTACACTGTACTTTTTAGACTCAGTGAGACACAAAGCTTAATGCTACTTTTGCTTTAGCCATCAAGAGCTGAGCATTACACTGGTGAAGCTAAAGAAGGGGGAGATGCCTTCTCACAGCACCACATATTATTAAGAGATAATCTTATTACTCCCAAGTGGATCAAAGCTAAGTTACTGTAAGATTTTTTTTTAACCATATTTAATGTACAAAGTAAACTGACTCCTAATGAAACTATTGAGTTGAAACCAAACTACTTTGGCTCGGGGTGCATAAGTCACTGGTGAACACAGTGCAATTTCTGTATAAAAATTAAAAGGGTTCTACCATTGGTATGGATTTGCTCCAGGAGCTCTGTGCTGAAGCACAGAAGCAGTGTCAGATCACTTATTTGGGTAATAAAAAACATGAATGGCAGACAGGGAGAAGATAATGAAACATATCCTTCAAACAGGAACACCGGAGAGTATTTGGATGGAATAACAATGCTCAGTACTCATAAAACTTTGTAGCTTTACTGTCTTTTTGGTAAAACATATACACTGTATTGAAACAAATCACAGAACATTCACTGGCAGCCACATTTTCTAACATGTTCTGTAACACAAAAGATGAAAAGATCATCTTTCCCGTCTGTCTGGATTTAAATGACTTACATTTGATGAATAATTTTTAAAACATCAGTATGCCAATGGTAATATGAATGATCATAATTTTCAGGTGTTTTTAATTTGCAGTTGGAGATAAAAATACACAAACCCATTTCCGTATTTTTTACATGCAGATAATAAATGTGCTTCTTCTACTGATTATCACATTGATTTAGGGTAGAGGTGTTTATGTATCATTACATAATTTTATTTAATGTTTGTTAAGTCTATGGGTAAGATGTCTTATTCCATTTAATATGTTACATCTGACTAAAGGCCAGAGTGGATTTGATAACAGAAAAATGTTCTGCCTAATACATTGTTAGTAATGGCTCAGTTTCTCTATTTCCCCTTAGAATTTGAACACAAAAATAAGTCTACATTTCTTTAAAGCATGCAGGCAGCTGAAACACACATATTTGCATAAGCTGCAACATTTAGGGAATGGCAAAAGCCATGCAAACCACTCGAGCATGAGGAATACACTGTGGATAATGGAGAGGAAAAACAGAAGAGATGAAAAGGAAAAACAAACCATGCATCCATGAAAGCAATGGTAGGCACTGGTGGAAGAATAAGTGAGCACCTCAAGGTGTAGAGAAAAAAAGGACAGATACCTACCCCAACCTGTGCTATCTAGCTACCGACCTGTGGACTTATAGTATCACCAGTTGGCTCACCAAATGGATCACTGTTGGATGAGGCCTGAGACCCATCAGGCTAGAATACAAGAACATAACACCTTTTTTTCTCAACAATAAGAAAGTGAAAAGTCAACATGAGGTTACTTTCATGCCGTGAGCATAACAAGTACATCCTATCTCATGAAAACCAGAAAGCGAGACCTCACTGCTGGATATGTTCTCAAAAGCCAAAATGGCTTCCTATAGCTGATGCAGGTAGGAAAGGACCACACCAGTACCTGCTGGAGCCCATGCAGGAGCTGCCACAGACTTCAGGATATTGGATCAGACAAACCAGAACTGCAAAAGGCCCTGAAAGGCAGTGAATCTATGTGAATCAGAAAGAGGCCAGGCTTGCATTGTTTTGTACCTTTGGGTCCTTTTTTTGTACAGACTCCTTCTTGCCTTTGGCTCACTTAGGCTCTTATCTGCCTAAGATACCTTGTGATTTAAAGTCATTGCTTGGATAACATTTCTTGCTTTGGTCCACGGAGTCTAAGGCAAAGAAATCACATACTGAGGGCCAGAACATTGAGGAATGTAACTAGGCAAGCAACTGGGATGCAAGAATGTGCAAGACAACATCAACCATCATTTAACACACAAACTCTCACATCTCCTTCTGCAGCCTCAGCATGTATGTTGTTTTACCTCGGACTCCCTTACCATCAACAAGTGAATGCTGGTATGCTAATAAGGACATTGGATACAACTAACATATATAACCTTACGTATGAACTCTGACTTTGGTTTGTTGTATGCAATATTAGTGCATATCAACATAAATGTCATGCTTTTAGCTATCAAAACTGGACCAGGAAGTGAATGCTGTCTGCAGCTCCCCCTTAAATACCACCCAGCTCTATTAGAATAGTTATTTCTGACACTACCAAACAACATTTAAGTAACTTCTGTCTTTTCTAGCTAAAATGAGCTAATCAGTATTTAGAAACCTTGTTGCTACTCACAGCCTCTTGCTCCTCACTTTTGCTTGGGCTTTCAAACCCCTCTTCAAAGAGGTCATCTGCAGCAGGATCACTGGTATGAGATGCTGATGATTTTGATGGAGAACTCTGTCTGGGTGCAGGGGTTGGAGCTAAACAAAGATTAAGGTAACAGCAACAGAAAATATATCTGTTAATTTGTTCAGAAAGACACAGCAGCACAAAATTTGCTCATGCCTTGGAGACCTCAACTTTTATTAGCCTTGAAAATTATTTTCTGACAAGGAGCTGTAAGAGGTAAATTTGAACAGAGAAGTCATTATCAATTCCATATATTTGATTTCATTCAGCTGTTTCCAAATTAAGTTTGGCTGCATCTGGCATATGTCTTTAGGAACCAGGGAGATGCCACTACATCACATTAAGAATGCATGAGTTGCCTGCCCTATGGCAGGTAAGCGAAACAGAACGTCTCTGGCTGGCCCCTGGTAAATCTGTGTTTCATGAATTCCTCTTTTCAGCAATCTGCAAAATCCCCCATCTCCATGTTATGAACATGATAAGCTTATTTTACAGCTCTTCAATGAATTTCCTCACATGTCCAATACATCAAGCTATTAAAATAAATACCCATCCCCTAATTTCTGCAAAGTATGGCTTGAATGGGACATAAGTGAAACCATTTGTAAGGTTGAATGTCATGGGCATTTTCCAACTAGCTTGCATGTCCCTAGCACAGAACATATATTACTGTCTTCTTATAAATTAAATTTCAGACTGCAGCTATTGAGGCTGTTGATTTCAGTGGCCTCTGAAATTCTTCTCTGATACTTTTCTTTATGGCTGGAACACATTTAATAAGCTAGACCATGCATGAAGGTTCTCAGTCCATATCTTGTGTTCCAATTTACTGTATGAAAAAAAAAAAAAGAAATGCTTTGAGGGACAGTCATGCCTGCAGAGAGGTATGGCTGAAAGCATATAAATACTCACGTGAATTTGTAGATGGTGTTGTGGAAGTCACAGGAGTCAAATTCAACTGAGAGATATCAAAGTCATCACAATCATCTGCTTCCTGTGCCATCCCAACTTTGTTAAAGTAACTTGAGAAGGCCTCTGAGGTACAACTGAGGGAAGGCTGATCTGGTTTTCTTGATGGCACTGGTGGAGGCTGAGCCATCTGGAAATCCTTAAACATTTCTTTTCCCATTTTCTGTCTGGGCCTGTCTGTCTGTGGGCTTGATCTGTTGGAATCACTTGGTGGAACAGTAGCTATAGGAGCAATGGTACCTTGAAACATGGCTGCTTGTAAAGGCAAAACAGTTTGTGTTGGCATGAAGGCAGTTGGTTGGAACTGACCAGCTACAGATGGCCACGGTTGCTGAGTAGGAGGAAAAATACCGGGTTGGCCCCATGCTATCGGCTGTCCTCCCTGCATCACCTGAGCAACTGGAGGCTGAGCACCCATGGCCAACTGCTGTTGAACAAGTGGTTGCTGTCCCCAGAATGAGGGCAGAACAGCTCCCATGGCAACATAACCTTCAAAGAATAAAGAGAGCGTGGGGAAAAAAAGAGATGAAAGGTTTTAACACTACCATCAAGAGCATGCAGAAAAAGCTACACCATAAATCAGAAACATGCAGGCTACATTAGTGTTCCCAGAGCTTCAGCACACTTAAAAAGAAAACTGAAAGACATGGTTGAATTCACATCACTGAACAAATACTTGTATAAAAACCCACAAATTGGTGGATATTGGCAATAATCCTTCCCCTCATCTGAACAAAAAAGTTCTCTTCCTCAGTGAGTACCCTCTTGGGTCTGTGAAGACCTGTGTGCATGGACCACATTGGCAGCTGGCCATCTGGCAGCTCCCCTCCCCAGGGCTCTGTCAAAGCACAGCTGGGATCAGTTTGGTCAAACCACTCACCAGAACCACCGGAGCTCCCAAAACATTCCCTAAACTCACCCCCTTGCAGCACAACCCTGCTCCTCACCACTGAGCTCTGCAGGCTCTCCTTACTACCCTGACTCCCCCCATCCTCTGCCTTTCACCCTCTGCCTTCCTGTTCCTCTCGGGGCAGGGATCTGGACATGATGCACTGGGTCAGGCTGAGATGGAGTTCATCATTTCAGAGCAGCCCATACGCTGCTAAAAAATGAGCTGCCAGAACAAGCAGAAGTAAGGAAGAGGGCGCCCAGGAGTCCCTCCCCTCTGCATAGCTTTGCTGCAGTTCCTCATTCTTTTTGCTTTTATTCTTTGTTGGGGAGAGTGACTCAAACACCAGCCAACTCCTGCCAATGGCATAGCAACAAAACTGGTTCTAAGTTACAGGGAAGCACCTTCATATATGTTAGGTAACAACTCAAGGCCCCTCTAATGACAGTGCGACCTCCTTGTGAGAGAAAGACTCTGTGCCATCTCTTCTGAAAGAGTCACAGTTCAAACCATTGGGACTCCAAAGAGCAAAGCAAGTGTCTCAAATTGCATAATAAAAAGACAGAGCCCAGATGAATTCAGGTTAAAAACCCACACATTTGATTATTACCCAGTTACTTGAGAACATCAAAAAGGTCCTGAGCTTCTCCTGTACTACATACCTAATAACAACAAACTGCTTCAGGTATTATGCTAGCATGAAAGCTCTCTAGTTGGGGAGGAAATTAAAGATTAACACTAAAATTGTAATTGCTTCCTGTCAGACCTGAACCCTCTTTTCATGCTACTAAGAGATTGAATGCATAGGGATTATATGATCAAGTGCTTTGCTATTTACAATGAAAAAAAAAGATCTGAAACTTAAACTACTGTAAAAAATGTTATAAATTAAACTACATAATACAATTATGTTCCACTGACAGAAGTATTATGATTTACAGATACACCATTTCACATTTAAATTAATGACTTACTGCTAATGCTTTACAATATGCAACCTCTTTTTACTTTTAATACTGTCATAGCTTTAAAACTCCTGTTTCTAACCTGAATGTTTTTCTGAGTCTTCCTGTAGTTTTTCCCCTTTGCTTTACTTCTAGGTTGTTTTGTAATGCTAAATGTAAGGGTCGTTGCAAAATCGTAAAGGGAAAAGCCCCAAATAAAAATAAAATAGAAACAGAACTTTGAAAGACTAAATTAATGAGTGATGAAAGGACAGTAACTCAGATATACATCTCTTTCAATAGATGGCTATGATGGATTCTCCAGATGTCCTTTTATCTTGTCCCCACTGTAACCTCACCCAAGCAGTGAGGGTTTTCATCTGACATTATCCCCAAACACTTCACCACCAGTGTAACCTTTCTGTGATGCAGTGGCTAATCTGATGCTGCAACGCAGCCCTTCAGAGAAGGAGTTAACCAATTAGAAAGTCACTGTTGAATGATTCAAGGCACTCCTCCTCCTTTTTGTTTCCATAAGCGGAGCTGAGAGCGTTGCTTTTGCAGTGCTCTGGGTATCCCAGGGAGAGATCAGCAGTCAAAACCACATGCCTTGCGTGTCTGCAGAATGCTACATGGCTTTTGAATTTTGAGCACTTTGAGGAACACAGAAAAGTCTAAAGGAAATACCAGGATTTGACTAAGTGGAATACCTTTGAAATGCAATCAAATTCTCCATGTCTCATTCTCTATTTACTGGACACAGCACAGGATATCATTGCTACCACAAAGAAAGCAAAGCTAAACTAAACTATTTTTTTCTCTCTTGATACTGTACCTAGAAGGTATGTTATCCAGATGGCTGAACTATGGTTGAATTCCCAGTGACTTTTTTGGGTTTTGTTTTGAAAAGTGTGGGTAAATTAAAAATAATGTACTCCCTGCTTGTTAAAGACTTGTTTTGCCTTGCCCTGCAGCACTGTCCTCAAAATCCTTCCCTGTTTCCACTGTATTAAATTAACAGCCCGAGTACTGAAATGCAAACCAGAGCTGAGAACTGATCACCAAATTTGAGTCAAGCTCTTATTTCCCCAGATTTCTTACCTGAGGGTACGGCAGCAGTGCTGAAAGGTACAGAACCAAACATGTCTGTACTAGCAGGAAGTGACTGGGATGAAGATGGGATAAAGGCATCACCTGGAGTAGCAGGAGTCTGCAAGAAAACAGGAATAAAATACAATCATGACAAATCAGCTGCAGCTTCTGCAGCACATCCTTTGCTGTCGCATCATCTGTAACTCAAAAAATACAGGTTTGGAGGGAAGAAAGAGAAAGAAAAAAGAATGGAAAGATGTAGAAGGAAAGAAGCAAAAGAAATAACAGTATTAGAATTTGCTGGAGACAGGAGAAAAGGAAAGAATACAAGGGACTTTGTACCAGAGGAAAAAATAAAAATAAAATTTGCCTGGAATATATCACATGCAAAATAGTGACATAATTTCTTTCTCCAGAACATACTGACTTGTGATTCTAGGTGTTAGGTGACAACCAGTAGAGGCAGAAGACCAAGGCGTTAATGTAAGAAACAGTAAAGGCAAATGAAATATCTGCAGGATTTATGGAAAAGTGAATACATATTGCTTCCAATTAACCAACAGGACCAGAACCAGAGGTCTACATTAAAGGAGAAATCCAATCTAATTGAGCAAGCTAAGGATGAGGAGACAGGACTTTGAGCATCTAGTCCCAGACATGCTCTAGAATACCTTGGAGATCTGAAGCTGATGACTTCACAGTGCCTCAATTTTCTCAGCATATTCATACTCCCCTACAGCTTAATGTAAGGTTCAAAAACTTTATAGGAAAATGATTGGTTTTTCATTTTATGATGCAGAAAAGCATGTTGAGAAGATTTTCTTTGCCCTCAAAACACATCCAGCCCTCTCTACTGTTTTGTCTTCCTTCCTTTAACGGCAGTTCTGGGATATGTGCTTGGTGGAACCAAAGAGACATGATCATATAATGCTGTAACTGGATCTTCCTGCAGTGCAGTGGAGAGGCACAGTGCGGTGAAGCATGCACCTCTGATAAACACCAGGGAAGGAGATCTGCAGCTCAGGTTATATCTTATGTGGCACCCACCCCTATATCAGAAAAATGAAAATTGAAGATATTTTTGCACATCATCATGAAGCAGTGACTCCACAGTCAATTTACTTCACTTTTATTTTCTCGTAACATAAAAACTACTTTGAAATCCTCCCTACTGGAATGGTTGATGACCTGAATTGTAAATGTGCTCAATAAATGTGCTGAAAATAGCATGTAGAAAAATGCACAGTTCAGTTTTCCTGGATACTCACTGGGGGGGAGGTTACATCAGGAGGAGTGGACATGTCCCCAAAAAGCTCTAGTTGGGTAACAGCCTGTAAAGAGAAAACAAAAAAAACCCATTTATTTTTTGAGAAGAAACTGTGTGTTAAGTAGTTACAACTTGCAAAGTTAACTAGTAACAGCTAGCAATATAAATCCCCCCAAAGCCATGTAGGCTTCAAATGTCAAGTCCCATATGGAGGAAGCGCATGGGTTCAAGCTGTGGGATTTTGATATTGCTGATGGACCCAAATAGCCAGCAGCTGACCCTATAAAATGATTCTGTAGGGAATTCTCCACCATAAAAAAAAGGAATAAAGCATGAAGAAACTATCCAGAATGGGACTGGATGCATTACTGCTCTGCCCTTAACATCAGTGAGCACCAAGCATGATTTATGGCCAGTCCTTTTCCCCGTCTCCTTCTCTAAACCCCTATTTCAAGGTCTTAAAACACGGCAGCAGACTGTGGAAGTGACAGAAGGATACAGAAGGGAAGGGCTTTTGAAGTGCTGCCTGATTTCCCCTTGCCCATGGGACAGGTGTGACCTGGATAAGTGGACTTGAAGAAGGATGCACAACTGGGTTATTGTAAGTTTTTAGCTCTACATTTAACTCATGCTAGAAATGTTTTCTCAGGGCATCCTTCAGTTTGATCTCAAAATAGGTCACCCATACAGGTCTCACTCAACTGGACCAGAAGAGAAAAAGCACTTTCATAAAAAGGAGCACCTTGAGTGACTGCATAATCAAAGCTCCTTCATGTGTTCTGGAGTAAAATGACTCTCTTCCACCCATCTGCATCTGCAAATCAGTTCATCTGGAGTCCAGAGATGGTAAAGCATGGATCCCTTCTAGCTCTGCAGGAAACCTAAAACCCATCTACCATCCTTATCAGGGTGGCTATTCTGGAAAGCTGTGATGGGAACTCAAGAACTACTCCTTCTCCACTACCTTTCTTCTGCTTAGTGACTTTCCTTCTTGCCTGTATCCTACTCAATCGCACCCACACATGTGGGAAGCCACAATTCTCATTATGAACAAGATTTAATGCAAATCTTAATTCAGTTCATTGAATCTCCTCCCCAGCTTAGGCACACAAACATTGCAGCCTCCTATCACATAAATAGGCTTGACATTCAGTTGATTCTTGACCTGCAAATGTAGCCAACACTCAGCGCATTAACCACACTGGCTGGTCAGTCTTCACAACCTACCAAAGGAGCAAGATTGCCCTAAGATTTCTTCCTGCCCTCAACCTTCTATTATAAATGATCCTTTAAGAAATAAGACATTAAATAAATACGACATAAATCATTCAAAATATAATGATTTCAAAGGTTTACACATTTCTGCAATCCAATCTCTATTCCCATAAACAAAACCAATGCTACAATCACTTAGACTTGGAATTCGTCTAGCAGCTTGGATGATTCTCAGCTTTATGTCTAATGATGCACCTAGGGATGAATTATTTCACGTTTCCTCACATCATGTCATATATTAAATAGATCACATTGCTTTAGTGCTATGACAATATATTTTCTTCTTATGGGCTTATATATTCCTCGAAGTATCTGCATGGAAATGGAAGGAGGAAGAAGAAAATCCACGTTTTCTTCAGGGTACACTGATTCTACTGTACATTACTAAAATACTGCTAGAAGTAGCTTCTGAAAAAAGAAAAAAGCCCACAAGTCACTTGTGTAGTGTGTGCAAACACACTAGGCAAGTATTGTTAAAATGCCAGAAAAGTTGGAATAATGACAACAGCAGCACTTGTTTGGAAATCACTTCAAGCCTCCTGTAGGCACTACCAACTCAAGAGATGCCAGGTGACACCAAATTACAGAAATAACCACTTTGTTCTCATCTCTCCAAATTGCTTGTTCAGCACCACCCCTAAATCTGCCCTTTTCCTGCATGACTGATGGGTTTTTCACCATTTTCTCCTCTCTGGCTTGCTAAGAAATAGCACATGTCCTTTCGAGGAGGCCATGAGTTAAGAGGTGCTGGAGCGTGTTCAGAGAAGGGCAACGAAGCTGGTGAAGGGTCTGGAGCACAGGTCTTATGAGGAGCAGCTGAGGGAACTGGGGTTGTTTAGTCTGGAGGAGGCTGAGGGATGACCTTATCGCTCTCTACAACTACCTGAAAGGAGGTTGTAGTGAGATGGGTGTTGGTCTCTTCTCCCAAGTAACTTGCGAGAGGACAAGAGGAAGTGGGCTTAAGCTGCGCCAGGGGAGGTTTAGATTGGATATTAGGAAAAATTTCTTCACGGAAAGAGCAGTCAAGCATTGGAACAGGCTGCCCAGAGAGGTGGTGGAGTCACCATCCCTGGAAGTGTTCAAAAACCAGGTAGATGTGGCACTTTGGGACATGGTTTAGTCTAGTCTACCCTTAATTGGTTTAGTGTGGACTTGGTAGTGTAGGTTAATGGTTGGACTGGATGATCTTAAAGGTCTTTTCCAATCTAAACGATTCTATGATTCTATGATTCTGTGAGCAAAGGCTCCTCCAGTGCTTCCACCCCAGGTGAGGAAGCAGGAGAGCAAGCCAGAGGGGATGTGAAAGGGAGGGGCTCACGTGGTTACACAGACTAAGAGGAAATGTCTGTAAAGTTACACATTTTTTTATGGAAAAAATATATGTTTCATATCAATACTGAAAATTGATAGTATACTTTTGAACTCAGGATTATATGGTATGTGTTGAAAGGCAACAACTCAGATCTCTATGCTTCAACACCCCTGTAAAATGGGAAGAATAATAATACTTTTCAGAGTGCTTCAAGGTGAGGGATCTTTGGAAACTCTTCACAGATATAATTCTGTTAAAGCTCTTAAGAGAAATTCTGCGGATGGATTTCCAAACAGGCAGCTGGAGAGAGTGATAGGAAAGCCGACTTCACTATGGAGAGAGTGATAGGAAAGCCGACTTCACTATTTATTGTAATAAGCCCTCATTCACAATATTCCCCAAAGAAAAGGAATATATTTACAGGGGAATTAATTCTCACAGAATAGCAACCTTATATGCAACAAGAGCTATAGAGCTATGTTAGAGTGTGTAAACAGAAATTTAGTGGGAACACAACTTCATCATTTCCTTACTAGTGAGTCTTAAACAGCAACACTTGGAGGTGGGATTTTAAAGTCCCAGAAGTTCAGCTCTGGATTCTGTATCTAGCTTATTTCTACAACCCAGTTCTCAGCCTGAATAAATTAATGCAACTTCTCTGACATAGATGTAGTTTGATCCACTTGCAGCATATGAGATTCTGGACACCAAATAGTTATCCTTTATTTTTGTGATTTCACTGTCACTACAGAACTGATTTCACCCATTACGCTTTTTAAAATTATTCACATCTGATATTAGCTACGTTCCAGTGAAGTTAATCCCAAACCGAACATTTTCAAATTGCACTATTCCTATAGATGATTTCATCTATATTTCCTTAAAACATTTTTAGTGTCACAACCTTACCTGAGTGATTGAAACAAGATTTTCATCAATGTCCAGCAATAAGTTTCCATTCTGCAGCTGTAAAGCATGATTTATGAAATGAAATGAATGATTTATGAAAATGACATGAATTTCTGAGCATGAAAATGATAACCTCCATAATTATTGACTTCACTATTGAAATGAAAACCCTTTCCATCTTGCAGTAAGCGCAGATATGAAATCACGCAGTCAAAACAGTGAGTTTGAATGCTGCTGGGATGTGGGGCAAACATACACTTTATTTCTGTTAAACCTTATCTTCTGGTGTATAAGGCAATTTCACTGCTTGCATCTATTTAATTTCCCAGATGTTTATTAATTCAGCAATAAGTATACCCAGTGAGCTCTGATCCTGCTTATATTAATGGAAGTTTTCACTGGCTTGGTGAAATAAAGGACTTAACATCCTCATGGGAAAAAAAAAAATGGAGTTTTGGACAACAAAAGCTCTAAAAGCAAGTATTTGCAGAAAAACCCAGCTTCCTCTTAACTAGGAGAAGTATAATATCAATGCAAACGTATTTAAGATGTGTTTTTTCTTTCCATAGTAATTTTTAAAATCACTGACATCAGTCAATCCAAGTTACATTTAAATCCATAGTTTGTGTGTGTGTAAACATACATGGGAATATACTGTCCACACATGCATACGTATCTATATCCATCTACATATTTAACACAAATTATCAATTCAGTGTCCTCAGAATGCTAAATTTCAGATAACATTTATTGTAGTGTTTGAGACTTTATTTCTTAAGAAACAAACATAACAGCAAGTTAACGAAAAATCAAATCTTAGATGCCTGAGAAGCTTCACACAAGTTACCAGCCAGTAATCTCATGCCATCTTAACAAAAAAGTTTAAAAATCTCAGAAACAGCCTATAATGCTTTTTTTATTCCCTCAGCTCATCAGAGACCTGAAGAAAAAAGGAGACTGGCAAAAGGCAAAGCTAAAGGAAGAAAACGCCATCGTGCACAACCAGGAAAGGACGCAGTCCTGCATGTTCTTGGTGCTCACAGCATGCTCCTTCAGCCCCAGGCAAGGAAAGTGTGAAAAAAGCTGTGTCCAGTTATTCAAAGAACTCACAGACCTTGAAAATATTCTTAAAATTAAACCAGAAGGGTTTACACCTTCAGGAGGGACCAGTTTTGGCCAGCAGTTAATCACTGTCTGCTCTGACAGCCCCCTCGTTTAACACCCCATCCTCCAGCATCCAGGGATGCAGCTTGCATCGCTCTGAAGCGGATCCTGCCCCCAGCCATGCTGATCGCTCTGTGAAAACAGCTGAGAAATAACCATGTCTCAGCACAGAGGGAACATGTGCGCAGCGTTCAATGGACCATTAGAAATTCCCACCTGTGCTACAGCGGGACCTTGCAGAAAACATTTGCCCAACATGTCACGGCACATCCCCAAGTGCCCAATTATCATGTAGCATTTGAGCTGCATCTTCCATCAGCTCGTGTTCTGCATCACACACTGGTGAGGAGACACTTCCTAAGGGTAAAATATCCCTGTCTACTAGAGCATGGAACAGCCTGCAA